TAAAATAAACAAAGGATGCTTGGTATTAAAATATTATTTTGAATCAGTAGAACTGAATGCTATTAAGGACATCTGAATAAATAGGGTATTAAAGGCTTATATGCCAACTTTGTTCATCTGCAGTTTAATTTCAAACACGACAGGATTTGTAATTTTTTTTCCGTATAAGTTAATAATTTCTATATACTTTGGAAACTAAAATCAATTATTTTAATACAGTTTCCTCGAGCTCTTTTCTGCAGTTTCCCTGAAATTTTATGTGGGTCCGAGGTGTTATTTGAGCTTTAGAGCGATTCTCTACATTGGTATTATTTTGATTTGTGTGTGTGTGTGTGGGAGGGGGGGGTACTTTTATTCTTAACCTATTCAACATGGGAGTTGAATCTTGTATCTTACTCCAAGAACTTAAGATTGATTGTGACATTTGGATGAAAGGTCAAGGTCATTAAAACCACCACCTCTTTAACTTCTATCCTGCCTACCGAAATAAACTCTGAAAGGTGTTTCTATATACATGTACATGTACTTCATGTTTCTTTTTACCCTTGGGTCAAGGTCAAAGGTTAAGGTCGATTTCAAGTTCATAGGTCAAGGTCATTTTGGTAAATAGCTAATATCAACATTTTATTCAGGTTACCAGTGACCTTGACCTAAGTTTCAGTTCAATGGTCAAAAGATCTGCTTCAGTATGTTACATGTCTTGACATTTAGAAGTTCTTAATTCTGCATGAACATCAAAATCTCAAGTATACTGGTCGTTTAAAACATTGAGTGTATGCGCATGTGCATGTACGTCCTTGCATTTACTTTTGATAGTAGCATAATGTAGGCATTCATTATATCTATTCATATTCAAAATTCCATCCGGTTTTATTGAGAACCAAGAAAGTTTTAGGCATTTAAAGTTTTAGCCAATCAGATTGCTGCACACGTGCACGTGCATGCGTTCTTGATTATTCTTATATATCATGCTGTAGATCTTCATAATGTATGACTATGTTCAAAATTTCAAAGGATTTTGTCAGAAAACAAAAAAGATATTTAACGAGGCTGGGGTGTGGCAGCCATTTTCAGACTATTTTTATCTCCTTTAAAAGAAGAGCTCCATATAAAGATATAATAAATGATCAAATTTTAAAACTAAAATATATGAATTTTTTCTTTGCCAAATGATAGTTGACGGCTTAAGATACCGTATGTAAAAAAAATAAGTTAAATCTGGTGGTTAATTTATGATTAATTTGTTGACCCCCCAGCCTCCTTAAACTTTAGTTTCAACAAATCGGAGCGAAGCACACATGCATGCGTGTGAGATCTTGCTATTTTGACCATGTCATTATGTCTATACTACTAATATATCCTTATATTATGAGTTTCAAAGCATTTCATAAAAAATTTAAAAGTTACTGCTATATCAATTATATTGGTCATTTCACGTGTTACACGTGCGTGCACATGCACGCATGTGCGCGCAAAATGACCTTCGTTCCGCACATCTGCATAACATACCTAAAAACCCTAAAAAGGTTTCACCTAGATCGGATGAGTAGTTTATGAGAACCCTCGCGGACAAAAAAGTACCCAGGAAGAAGAAGAAAAGTCAGAAGAAAGTAAAAACAGTATGTTTCCAAACTTCGTTTGGGGAACATAATAAAGACATTCAGTTGATTTCTTTGGGTGCATGTACACAAAATGTCACATTTTTTTTATCCCATGCACAGGATGAAAGATCTTGTCACAGGAAATATACAGTCAAGTGAAATATGAAATCCATGGCATCAAAAATGTTGGTGCCCAAAGAAAAGTCTGGTCATATGAAATAAACATGAAATATAAACATTATAAGCAAGGTTCAAGTTTCCCCCCCCCCCCCTCCCCTCAGACAAACTGACAAATAGATTGACAAGCAAATAAATGATGGACGGAATAAAAACTATACCCCTTGGATCTTTAATTACAGGAGCATAAAAAAATTCAAACACAGACAACAAAATCTAAAGCTTCTGTTCCCAAAGTGTCTAAGTGTATCTGTGCTGAAATTTACTTGTCATCATAATTTAGACTCCTAAATGCTGTATTTAAGAAATAATTCCTTCTGATCTGTTTTATTCCCTTTATTCAAAGTAACTGATCTCAAAAGCCACACATTTTTGTAATGTTGATGTTTTTTGGTGGGTTTTTTTTTTACTATAAATTGGCCATTATTCAAATATAAATTGCTTGCCAAGCAAATCAGTTTTATAAATGTTTTCTATGAAAGGAGTATTTAGTCAGAAAATATTTAAATACATTGTTTTCTATATGGAAAATATTTCTCATTAACCCTTGAACCCCTATTTCAATAATTATGATAGATGTCAGGACAAAGCTCTCTGAAGGTCATTTTTACTGCAAGTTTACAACAAGGTTGGAAAACCTTATTTTATAGTGAAGCACATTAAACAAGAGTTTCGAATAACAAGTGCTCTAATGAAGATTCCTGATTTTTCGTGAGTACGTATCATCACGAATCGGCTCTTCAATGTCAAATAGCAAGTAGAATTCGTAAATGGACGTTCGATCAAGAGATTTTACATAGATTTCAGCACCATAAAAATAAAAGCGAGTAATTGTATTTTGTGAGTGATGTGTCTCACAAAATTATGCGATAAATAATTCCATGCCTATATTTAGGAATCTACAGTATTTGACTTAAAGGCATAAAAACAATTTTTTTGAGAATGCTTGGTTTATTCTTTTTTTGTTTACATGAATTTTGATAAGTTTGGATACGACTTAAAATCACTTGAATAAATAAATTCCTTGAGAGTAGACTTAAATGTATTTCCAAAAATATTTATTGAAAAGAAAGAACAACGGATAAGAAAGAAAAAAAACTTATCTAAATGAAAAACACTGTAAATCATTATTTTTTACTTCTAATTATGATCAAGATAGTGTTTCTTTTAATTCATTTTTGTTCAGAATCAATACAACAGGTAAGAAAAATACTTGCTTTGCTGAAATTAAAAAAAAAAAATTTCCTCTCTGAAAAATTTACTGCAGCTTGAACAATTTAAATCTGGATTTTTTCACACAACTTGTATAAGTGATAAATACATATTTCCTTGTACATGTTTATCTTTCATTTGAATCTTCATCACTTAATGTCATGCTTCTTTATAAATCTAAAATTGAAATTTGAAATACATGTACCCTTTCTATTACATTTCATCATAATCTTGCATAATTTCTTCTGTCTCATTCTAAAATGAAATTTAAACCCAAAGATTGGCTGTATCTTTTTTTCTCTCAATAATTGGAGATAATCTCATAGTTTGACAGAGCACTACCAGCAGTTCTGAAATCTAGAATTATTTTCTCCTGGAGAATATACTACAGGCTAAAGTGAGTCCTCTCTATCTCATTTTTCTTTCTGATCATTTTAGAACATCATAGATCTCCTTCCACATGACACTTTACGTGCAGTTCAGGGGAGAGTAAATCAATACAACTTTAATCTAAGCTCAGAATCTGTAATCTGTCCTGCAGTTTTTGGATAAAATTCCTGGAGAAAAAAACATTAAAGCTTCCATGGTTTAGACTTTCATTTAGAGTTTCTTATAAACTTTTCAGTTTATTTTGCTACCCAAAGCACCTTAGAGTTTCTTATAACTTTTCAGTTAACATTTCCCTGTATCTTTCTCGCCTGACGACCTGGGATCTCAGAGGGACCGATCACAGAGGCTTAAATCAAGGCCTACACAGAAAATGTTCTATATGACTCAAATTGCTTTCACTAGTACTTTTTAGCTACATAAATCTCTCAGATTCCATCCATGGATAATTGTTTTCCCAGAGAAAGAAAATCCTCCTCAATCTATTTCGCACTCTGTTTTTATACAGAGATGTCATCAAAGTCAGAAGACGTTCACTGAAAACAAAATCTTTACTTTTCAAAGAGGCCCATAGGCCAAAATGCTTGTTAGAGTTAAATTGGCTCTGCTGTACATTCTTTCATTCTTTTTGTCATGAAAATTCACATTTTGGATAAGAGCTCATTGATTATTACAATCATTCCAGGGCTCGACATTAACTTTTTTTCCTACTTGTCCGATTTTCAACTTTATTTGTCCGAAATTTTTTCAATGAAGTTCAATAGTTTCAACTTGAAAATTAAAATAAAGTCCATTACGCATGCCATGCACTTGATTGATTCGTGATGTTACTGATAAATACAACAAATACATAAAACGAAATTTTATCTAGGTTTTCTGTCCTGACAATAACATAAATGTCCACAAGTGAACCTGTCAACATCAAGCAATTCATACTTCAGTCTGTATCTTCCATGACTTTTCAGTACTATGCAATTAGTGAACTTCGATCCCGATTGAAATTGAACTCAAGTAATATAGCGATACATATCAGGATCGAAGTCTGGATTTTGTGTACAGCTTCCGTCTTGAGACTACCGATTCAGCTTCCAACAGTCGTTCTTTTTATTATATAGAGACCCCTTTACATCAAAATGCACTTGTCCAATCGGACAAGTGCCCAGCAATATTCACTTGTCCGTATTTACTTTTCATTGGTACTGAACAAGCGGACAAGCGTTAATGTCGAGCCTTGCATTCTAACAGTTTGCTTGCTAAATATCCAGGATTTGAGAAGATATCTGAAGACAACATTAATTTCAATGTATTTGGTCATACCCTTCTGACCCTAGATAGGCAGATACCCACAAATTTAATTTTTATCGTTTTAGAGAAAAAATGATTTTTTTTATTGAAACAATGGAGGTAGTGTACAAAAGTCAACTGAGTTAATAATATAAGCTAAGACAATTTTGTGACAATTTAGATTTATTTTTTTCACTTTCTTATTTGTCACACTGTAGTAAAACTCCCCCTCAAGATTAAGTAATAATTTTGTCAGAATATGAATTCCAATCTAGTGCACTGGTAGTACTGAAGAGATGACATTTTGTTTGATTGGGGGGTGGATCAAGTGTTTTTTACCTTCAGATAATACACCAGCAGCTCGTTTAAGGAAGGATCAGCATTCAAGTTGACAAGGAAACACCTTCCTTTTTCCACTTTTATCCCCGAGGTTTGCACCGAGACGCCCATCTTCTCTAGTGCTTCATGTCGCTCCTGTAACAAACAAGGCTATTAATCAAACGCAACACAAAGTTCAGAGTTGTAAAAACAATCATTAAAAACCTTAGGGACCATGATGTCCCCAAACTTGTTCACAACATTAAAAAACTTTGGGGCAATGCTGGTGCTAGTTTCACAAGCCCACATTGATATATCATTCTGTTCGTATCATACTTAACTGGTAATTTCTGAAAATAAAACTTTTCAGTCCACATTTGTTTTCCTGCAGTTTTTTTTTTTTCTTAACATTCATTTTTTCCCCTTTAGAACTGCACTTTTAGCCATGACTGAATTAGCCATGTCAAATTTCTGGGTCAAGAAAATGTTTTGCATAATAGTACATGTAGAATAATACCATGGTCAGGTTCCAGAGAAGATCCAGTAAAATTTTTACTCTCTTTTTGTGTGATAAGATTTTTTGCCCACAGCAAAAAAAAAAATTGCATTTACAAGTGGGCAAGTTGACATTTGTGAGCCTTTAGTTTCTGATTAAACAAATGTTCTGGTAGTGTGTATCCTAGTTATACATCTATGATAGTTCTATCTTGATGGGATTTATACTTTATTGAGAATATACCTGCTCAAAAAACTTTTTTCACTCAGAAATACATATTGAAACTGACTGATGTTAAGCCAGATGCACTCCTTAAAATAAATCAGAATCATCTGCCTTCAACTTTTCTTTTGACTGTTGTCAAGTCATTTATAACAGGGACCATGTGCTCCATATGTCTGGAACTGGGAACTTGACTGATATTCTTTTTAAAGAATATTGATTGAGTTTCACTTTGTGAGATTGAACATTAATGATTTAAGTAGACTAGTTTAGAGGATGTCATGAATTTCTCAATTAGGAAGAAACACCCTTGCATAACATAGCCATGCATGCACTTAGGAGCAAAAAATGAAATTTTAAATTTAAGCATTTTTACTATATGATTTAACTACAAGTTATTCTTTCTTTAAATTTGCTGGCTAAATTCCTAAAATTTGAAGTTTTTCTGTTATAACACCGTTATATATTTCTCCCAGTTTGCTAACTGATTACCAGTCTAGTCGAACCCTCAAACGGGGGTAAACGGAAGTAGGAAAACCGTACCCTCAAACGGGGGTACGCGCAGGCGCAGACACTAAAAAAAGTGCCATTTTCACGGAAAAACGTGTGGTCCACAAAATATGTTCGTGCAAAGTGCTGGATTATTTTGTAGCTCTGTATGTACTCAAATTTGATAGATTAAAGATGTTTAAAGAGATTGTATTGCGAAAAAGTATATGTTTATTGCAAAAATCAAGACTTTTTCTCTCCCAAAGTTAGCGTATTCTGTGCTTTGACCCCCATGCTTGATACAACTAGATTTTTTTATTCATAATTTAATAAATCGGATGAATAAACAAACAAAGGTTTGTTAAAAGTTGAACTACATATAATTCCCTTCCCCGATATTACAAATCTTGTGTAATTAACATGTTATTTATTATTTTTCGACACTTTCTTGTGTGCCCGTCCGAATTTCCTCTGTCCTGTAAACAAACTTTTGTGCTTCAGAAATGAGGTAAATAAAAACGAAAACATTTTTATTATTGTTTTTGTAGACAATTCATTTTTGTATGCTTGTGATTTAAAAAAAAAATATTTATTTTTTAAATAAGAAGAGTTATCGTTCTTGAATTCCACTTCCGCCTTCGCGCGTTGCATTAAGGGAAGGAAAACCCTCGTTTGAGTGTATACCCCCGTTTGAGGGTTCGACTAGACTGATTACACCGTATTCTTTCTTTTTATTTTTTCTAAAGTTTCTGATAATTTACAAATATATTTAATCTTTAGGTCATTGTTTAATTACTTTGTTACATAACAAATGAATATTACCTTGTTATTTGATTCTCTCTTAGTTTTCTTGTTGATTTGCTGTTAAGCTTGAAACTTATTACCTAGTTATTTTATCCTGAGTACCTGGAGCCTGTTTCAGAAGAACTTTACAGCAAAAATCAACATTTAATTCTGCTTCTATTTTAATTTCCAATTTACAATGAATTGAAAAGGGTATGTAAAAAATATACTAGCAGTATGAAACAGATTCATTAATTTTGCTAAATTTTACAATCAAATAAAGATTTTAGTCTTAGCTGCAAGTTCTTTAGGGAAACAAGCCCTTGATATTGAACTTAATTTCCTATCTAGCTTGTAGCACAAGATTTGATTGGTTATCTAGCCGGGTTTAAACATCCGTACACCTGACTTAAGCTCGAGGTAAATAACACAACATGACAAAATTAATGCATAGTTTTTCTATATAAAGGCAAATATCATGATGTTACAATGCATTGTAGTACATAGTAAATCTTATTGATAGGTTGAAACACATTTGATTGGAATTATGTTTACTAAGCATTCATTTGATTTCATAGGAAATAAATTCTTTATCCAGGTCTAATCATGGGTGTACAGGGATTTGATCCACATTTTATTCCATACATCCTTCAGCCGTCTGCATCAGGATAAAACCAGGGTATATTACCTATGTTTCTTAAGTTTTGTTCTTAGAAAAGTGACCGGTGTCCGGTTTTCAGGGGGTTACCCACCCCCAGGGTTGGCCCGTTTTATGAGAGTTTATGTGTAAGAAATGTTAAGAATTTTGCAAGAACTTATAAATTCGGCCGATATTTAGGGAGAACCGGTTTCCAGGGGGCCGGTTTGGAGAAGTTTCACTTTACCTGGTTATCTGACTCAGAGTATGCTTGTTATTTACACTGTTTTCAACTCTCTGAAATTGTTGGTTAATTACTTAGTTATTTTACCCAGTTTTCTGGTTCATTACCTGGTTAATTTTATCCTTCTCTGCCAGTTTCTCCTCCCAGGTCTTTGTCATTTCTTTGATCAGTTTCTCCGATTCCTGAAGTCTGTCCTGTAGTGCAGGGGCCTGCATGCTCTGGTTAATAGATTCAACAAATTTTACTTTGAATTGCAATGTTTATTAATTTTTAAAAAAATAATACATTAATTTGCTAATGAAAACTCCTTTAAGTAATTTTTGAGTTCTCTATGGCATTAAACAATCTCTTAATTGACTTGGCTAAAAATTAATTGTAGAGAAACTGGCACACATTGCAAGTAGTCTGGGAACCTCAGGCCAATGATAGCTGCATGATAGGTAAATTTCTACCTAACTTCAAATCCTTCCGATAAAGTTGATTTCTAAGGTATTGAAAGTTGTGAATTGTCACTGAACAAGGTAATAATTAGAACGCCCTTTGTCACTTTTCAAGTAACAACTAGAATTGAAAAAAAAATTGTTTCAAGTTTTTAAGATATATGTTTTCTTGTGCCCTGGCAATAAACACTGTCTCTATATTTGATGAATAAGCTTTGTAAAGTGATTTCTCTTGCTTTTATAAGAAATAATCTTTGTCCTTCAAAAAGTAAAACAGGATCTGAACTTGAGCATCATTGGGGCATTTTCAAGGAAAACTCATCAATACTAAAATTTAGCCAATGCTATTTAAACTCTGGTATAGGTGTTCTGAGATATTTGAGCTTGGCTCTACCTGAGCTTCATCGAGCTGTTGTTTGAGCATGTCCACCTCATCTCTAAGATCTCGTATGATCCGAGCATTAGGATCCTCATTGACCACCGCATGGTTCACTATCTTCTTGGCACGGTCAGCGTAGCGCAGAGTTGACAGGGTTTCCTCGTAATTATCCGCCGCTGGGGAAATCGTGGCTACCATCACAGTCTTACTGTTCCCTCCCAGATTATCCTGTAGTACAGAAACAAGAAAATCAATCTCACTCATGTCTATAATTTTTACTGAAACTCTATTAAATATTTTGACTTGCCAACAGTAGTAAACAACTTTTCCTCTATTGAAGTTGGAAATGGTTATAAATGGTAACCATTCTTTCATGAGGAAAAATTGTTTTTATTCACTGTGTTCTGCATTAATTTGTGCTTGATATTCATTAAAATCAGATTTGTAAATAAAGTAAATTTTAAATGTTCGGTAGAAGTGTGTCAGACCTTGAGTAGCCATGTTAATACAGAGTCTCGGTATGGCACAAACTTATCCTTCTTCTTGTTACCAGCTGACTGGTCAGCTAATGCAGAGATGACTAGACCCAATGTGGTCAGGGACCTGAAATTCAGTTACTTCAAATGATTATTTCATTAAAATGCATTTTTTTCATCATATATTTTACTATTTTATTTTTTCTAGTAAATAAAAAATCCACTTCTATGTAGAAAACTAACAATAAAAAGTTACAAACTGAATCTTACTTATTTATGTTACTTAATTCCCTCCCTCAGTCAAATAACAAACTGTTTCTTACTTTATATTTGTGTTACTTCCCTCCCTCAGTCAAATAACAAACTGTTTCTTACTTATTTATGTTACATCCCTCGCTCAGTCAAATAATAAACCGAATCTTACTTATTGATGTTACTTCCCTCCCTCAGTCGATCTCCGACAGCTCCAGTTTTCTGAGCACGCTCACTGCCTGCCAAATCTACCAGGCTTAGCTTGCTCACCTTCTCACCACTAACCTGTCAATTGATTCAAGTATTTTTTATTTTAAAATAAAGATATTACAATGCTATTATATGACAGTATAATGAACATGATATAATCAAATCTGTGTCATTAATGCTAATTATACTCCTCATAAGATTCATTATTATACTTCTGTTAAAATGTTTCCTATATAAAGTTCAGAAGGTAAAATAACTATCCTTTATAGTCCACGCATAGCAAAGCTATACCCCGGGGTATAGTTTTTGCTATCCACCCTCGGAAAATTTTCATGCAATAATTGCCGCCAGTTTTGATTTCCAGCGATAAATCTTTAAACAGATGATGTCATAATGACTTCAGTAGCATTGTGACGTCATCAAGATTTCAGATTATTCTTGCATCTATTATCTTACTCCAAAAAAATTCAAACCTTAGAAATTATATTATACATCAGTATAATAAAACACTTATCCACTGGTTGTGAGTGGGATAGCTCTTTTATCAAACCCTTGACAGGAACTATTCCCCTCGGGCAAGCCCTCGGGGAATAGTTCCCTGTCGCGGGTTTGATAAAAGAGCTATCCCACTCACAACCAGTGGATAAGTGTATAATATAACCGTAAACAATAAATGTGATTTAAAAATGAAAATGCTCTAGAGTAATATTTAATCAACATGAAATTAGTGAAAGCTTCCATGCATACTTTGTCTGCTAGTTTTGACTTTTGCACTTCATGATCTTTTACAATGATAGATAACTGTTTAACTCCTAGCCTGTTGATTGTGTTAACATTATAACAGGGATTAGCTCCCTTACCTTTGAAGAACAGCTTCAACTATTAGAGTAAAATAAGCACAACTTTGATTTATCTATAAATATTTATTTATTGAGAATTTCTCCAAGAAATTAGCAGTATAAGTCAACAATTTTTATCCTCAGGGCAATGAGGAAATGTGGTGAATCATTTGACTGCTTACTACCCACAGCATCTTCAGATACACATGGGTGATCTTGTCTTTACTTATCACCCAATACCGCTGTAAAATATGTTAATTTGTTCATTATAGGCAACCAGTCAGATAGTTGGAACTCTTCAATTTTTAAAAAGACATTGTTTGCTTTTTATGGTAAATATTTTGAAGCACATTAAGATGTGCAAAGTTTGTTCTAAAACGGTTAAAGTCAATTCGTACATGTCATTGACATTATATACTAATCCGAAATTATATGAGAGTATCTTTTTTAGAGTGCAAAATGCAATCATGTTTTTTATGCCCCTGTAATTGAAGATTCGGGGTTAATAGTTTTTGCCCTGTCCATCTATCTGTCCATTTGTCTGTTTAACTGTTTGTCCGCAAAAATCTTTAACTATGTCAATAACTTTTGTGTGGATGGCTTTCATATTTCACATTTTGTGTATCCCTTGTGAAATGACCTTTTTTTGGTACCACCCAATTTGATCTCATGACCTTGACCTTGAAGTTTGACTCCCTTTTATGTAAAATTTCCGAACTTTAACCATGGCTATAACTTTTGATTATTTGGTGCTAGGGCTTTCATACTTTACATGCATATTCACTGTTACAAGGCTTTTCATTGGGTATAAAAATATTTGACCTTTTGACCTTGACCTTAAAGTTTGGTCCACTTTCAAAAAATTTTAATCTCAGCCATAACTTTTGAATTTAGTATTAGGGTTTTTATATTTTACAGGTGTATTGTAAGTTCTTCCTTTGGATACTAAAATTTTGATCTTCACCTTGGAGTTTTGTCCACTTTTAAAAAAAACTTTAGTCTTGGCCATAACTTTGGAACTGTTAGTACTAGGGCTTTCATATTTCAAAGGTATATTTCTTGTGAAAAGGCCTTCATTTGGATACCATTACAATTTTGACCTTTTGACCTTGGCATTTGGTCCAGTTTAAAAAAAACAAACTTTAACCTTGACCATAACAATTAAACTATTAGTACTAGGGCTTTCATATTTCACATGTATATTCCTTGTGACAAGACCTTTCTTTGAATACCAACAATTTTGAACTTGGCCTTGGAGTTTGACTTGTATTTGAGAAACTTCAATCCTTGCTATAAGCTAATATATGGGATATCAGTGTTTCACAAACACATCTTGTTTTATATGTCCTGGCTATATTTTTTTTCCATCCATTAATTGAAATAGGCAGATAATGACCTAGCTGTACTTACAATAAAAGGCAAGTTAAATTGATGTATTAGTTAATGATTAAATAAAACACTGTCGCAAGATTTGCAGGTCTTAATGGTTACCTGTGCTTAACAATATAACCTCAGGCAGTGGTGCATATTCTTTTATCAACATTATATGCTATACTACTCAATTCAATTTTACTTGAATTAGCTTAAAACAATCAAATTGAAATAGTGAAAATGTAAAATTTTGATATCCATGATTCATTATACATGCACAAGCTTCTTATTTTTTAAAGAACAATTACTGCAGATCTACTACCAATCCAACTTCCGGCATGATTTTTTTTTCTTTTTTTTCAAACAACAATTTTAAAATTAAACAGTACTAAAAGTGAGTGGTCAAACATACTGAACACTTTAAACCTGACTAGAGTTTCTGTAGTTCTTACATCTTGCTAAATTGACTGAAATGAGACATTAATTACAGAGTTGTCGTTCCTCCTAACACAATGTCAATTCTGTGTAATAATAAATGCAAGTTACTAATGTCACAAAAATTCTGTTATTTCAATAAACTATAATTATATTCCATAGTAGTCAAGTTAAAGACTTAAAATTTTTTGTTAATATTAAATACCCTTAGTTATTCTTCAATAAAAGTTTCTTTAATTTTTGTTTACCCATGTATACTATATATTTCTTGGAAAAGAGGATAAAGGGAATAAATCACTTCACAATTTTGTGACATTTTTTAATATATTGCAATCTAAACTACAAGTGCAAGAAATAGCACACAAGGAAACAATTACATGGTCTTGTACAGCTTGTCATAGATCTATTTGGTAGGTCCAGTGGCTCAAAAACACAAACAGCCTGCAGACAAAACTCACAGTTTTTGGTCACATCTATAGTTTATTTGACAAATGTCTTACGTGAACAATGACCCATTAATCAGGATTTCAAACTCTTAATCACCTTGTGTCAATTTAACAATGAATTGCTTCATTAAGATTCATTGGTCTTTAGTCCATATTTAGAAATGCACCTTTTTCATATTCAGTAAAAAGAAGTACATTTAGAAAAGTCATCTACTAACACAATGAAGAACTACTTTTTTGCCCTTTTAATTTGTGGAATAATGTTTTTGGAGGAAATCACAGCACAGACTACCAGGCAAGGTAAGTTAATTACCACCCTATCCATATATACTTACAACTCCCTTAAAAAATGGCATATCTTGAACATTGCAAGCCAAACTTTTAAGCTATAAATTTCAAACTCTGGCCCAAAGCTAAAAAGATCGATTGTTAGACTTCAAGTCAGAATTTATATATTAATTGTCTAAATCTGAAATTTTTGGTCTTAGTTGTTAAGTTCTTTTGCAAAACGGGCCCCAGGACATTTTATTGAAAACTCTTTCCCATTCATGTTATTTTAATTTTCAGTATCAGTTTATAATTAATGTCCATTTTAAGAAGAATAAATATTTAAGACTGCTTCATAATCCTGGAACCTGAACTGTATTCAAGGAAACATTTTGGTCTACATAGTCATATAAATTCCTACTATTAAGCACTCTGAGCGAAAAGCATATAAAGTAACATATTTTCCACTTAAACTATGACATGAAATCATTATAACAAGAAATTTGAAAATAATGAATGGCAATTATGACCCAAAGTCCATTTAACATATACAAATTGTGAGCAGAGCTAACTTGGACCTCTTAAACAGGGGTGGGATCAGGTGCCATAGAGGAGATGGAAGACTTTGAGAGTTTGTAACGTGATATTTGGATGAACATCAACAATCAGTCCTGGGGCCCGTTTTACAAAAGAACTTAACAACAAAGACCAAAAATTTCAGTTGATTGTAAAATTTTGAAAAATTAATGATTGAGTTTAAAATTGCTATCAGGAAAAAATCTTTCTAAATCCATTTAAAAAGTTTAAAACCATTTTCAATTAAATGCAAATAAGAAAGTTATAAGCAGAATAAATTTTGGTCTTAGTCGTAAGTTCTTTTGTAAACAAGCCTCTGGTCTCCAAAAACTACAAAGAAAGTGTCAATAAGAAATTTATCTTTTAATATCAACATTGGAATACTTTTAAGTAAATTCAGAGTGTTTTTTTTAACAAAATAAGCTTCCAAATGACCACTAACAAGATATGCAAATTTTAAAGTTTCATTTTTATGATTTTTTTATGATTTGTAATGAAATGCAACTTGGAACAAACAAGAAAATGCCTTAAGGTTAACTTTGTGTTTCTTTTTGGACAGGACAAAACTCAAAATCAGGATCACCAGGAAATGAAACAATTTCAAAAAATTTATCCAATGGAAGAAATGAAAATGTACAAAATAACTTAAATTCCCCTCAACAAAATGCTGACTTTAATCAAAGGAGAAATACTTACAATAGACTTCAAAACCAAAACAGACAGCCCATAAACCCCGGAAATCAAAACTGGAATAATGGAGGATCGGGCAAAAACTGGAATAATGGTCCTTCAATCTGGACTGCTGGTAACTCTCAAAATAGACCCTCTGGAACACAGGGCAACAATGTACCACCCTCAAATAATAATTGGAACAATGGTCAGCAAACCAACAATAACAGACATTTTAATGGAAACTGGAAAAATGGACCACCAAATGGTAACTTGAATGGAGGACCACAAAATGGTAATTGGAATGGACGACCACCTAATGATAACTGGAATGGGGGATCACCTAATGGAAACTGGAATGGTGGACCACCTAATGGTAACTGGAATGGGGGACCACCATTTGGTAACTCAAATGGAGGACCACCTAATGGTAACTGGAATGGTGGACCACCTAATGGTAATTGGAACAATGGACCACCAAATGGTAACCAGAATATTGGACCACCAAATGGAAATTGGAACAATGGACCACCAAATGATAACCAGAATATTGGACCACCAAATAGTAATTGGAATGGTGGACCACCTAATGGTAATTGGAATAATGGTCCACCAAATACAAATAATGGACACCCTAATGGAAACTGGAACAATGGACCTCCTAATGGGTCTCCATATGGTCCTTGGAGTCAAGGTCCCCCTTTCCCTGGCCCTGGATATATGCTAGATCCCGACCTTCCAGATGGATTGGATACAATGTATCAACGAATGCAAGCTATGCAAGCTATGCATGCAGTGAATCAGTATGCTGGTAACCTTGGGGCATTTGATGTTATTCCACCTATGGCTTTTCCACATCCTATACAAGTCCCTCCTATGGACCCAAGACCCCCTGGTGTGGGCACTGACCCAAAAACAGGCTTTCCCATGAGGCCTCACACAAGAGCTGGAGTCTGGAATGGAATTACTTCGCCAAGTGAAAACAGTACAGCTAACATAACAATGGCATTTTCAAGACGGAATTCAGCTGTGCTTAAAACAATTCAACCCAAACTAGCGGAGTTCCTACACCAAGGGCAGATTGTTTCAGGAAATGAAACTAATAACTCTAGTGGAATAAATGGAACATATCTGCAATCTAAGACAATGAGTAGTTCCCAAAACTACCCTTACAATCCTTATAGTTATGGTTTTAATGCTTTTGGATTTAACCCATGGGCTCAATCATATCAACCTGATATCCCCGACCACCTGGAAAACAAAAATGATAGGGCAAAGGCTATTGAGAACAAGCCACCATATAACCCCCCTCCATACAATCAAGCAGGCTGGTCTCAAAGGCCCAGAGAAAGGATAACTGGGTTGGCCCAGACAAACCAGACAGGACAACCTGCAACTAGTGAAATCATGAGTCAAGGAATTAGGAATGTTCAAAAGATACAGAGTCAAATGCCCTCAATGGGATGGCAGGCTTCCTCTCCTCAACAACAGAGTGCTAGAACAAATCAAGCTTGGCCATCTCAGCAACAGAGATATCAACCACGGACACCTTCCTCAGTACAACGAAGCTCAAACGTACAGGGAACAAAGAAACCTGATCCTGATGGAGGAAAACAAGGCGGTGATGTTGAAAAAGAAGTGGATAAAGACAAAGAAGAAAGTCAAACCAAAACCAATATTGATGTGATTAAATCTGTTCTTGATGAAGTTTACAGACAGAGAAACAACAAAGACTTATCAGTGTCGTCTATAATGGATGCTATCAACAACAGAAAAACAAAAATCAAAATGCAGTACAGATATGAAGGAAATGTCCCTCCACCATCTTGGACAAGGCAACTAGAAAATATTGAGCCAAAAAATAGAGAGCCAGTACCTACACCTAAACCTGCTGAATTGATAGAAGAAGAAGTCAACAAAACTAGCATTCCAAGAACTGGAGCAAGCTTTAGGTTCTCATCAAAATACATTCCACAAAACTTTGCAACTCTGATGAAAAATCCAAGATTAACACCCATTTCAAATTTTCCTTCAAGAACTGAGCCTCCTCAAAACACTCCAAATTATAGATGGACTCAATCTCCCCCCAATCCTTCCAAACTACCATCTAGCCCTACTACCAATAAAGATCAAACAAAAGATATCATCCAACAAGCCATTGGAATAGTTCAACAATCTCAATCAAACAATAAAACAATTTCAGACCTAGCTAATATTTTAGGAGATAGCCTAAAGACTACTACAGAAAAAGTTGCTACACTGAATGTAGATACTGAGATCACAATTCAAAAGGGGGACAAGGTACATGTAATAAATCATGAACAAGTCATCACTGTTCCAATCAATAGTACAACTCCATCACCTCCATCACAGAATCAGATGGGGGTCACTATGGCTGTAATGGAAATGATGCCAGAATTAACTACACCACAAGAAATGGTTGAAAAAGTTCCTATTCCTGCAGAATCTGCATTATCTCCATCTTCCACCTTTGGTATTATAGTAGGAACAATCATAGGATTGACTGTCATTCTAGGACCTATTATATGTATATTATGTAGAGTTCGTAGGAGGCATGGAGAAAAGAAACGAAAACTGTCTGCTAAACAAAGTGGATACAGGAAAGGTGATGCTGAGGCTATGGAAACCATGATCAATTGTGATTTTGGAGACCCTCTACCATCAAGCAGTTTTGGGATTGGTGCTGGTGCTAAAGCTAAAGTGAAAAGCTTCCTAACAAAAACAGTGAGCCCTGGAAAATCCTGCACAGAACTCCAAGCTATGAAACCTAAAAGTCAGACTACAACTGCCATGATACACTGACTTACATTTTTTAGACTTTTTACTGTGTGTCTTAAGAACATTTGTCTTTGAAAACGGATGTTGGAAATCCCAAAAATCTTAAAATCATGCAATTATCACTGCTATAACTGTACTACATAAACTTACACAGAAAAGTTATGTCTCCTTTGTGCAAATAAATAAATATCATAAGTTTTTTGCTTGATTTTTTTTTCATTTGAGTATAACATTTTTGTGCTTAAATGGCAACTTTCTTTAAAAGATGTTAAGAATTCAAAAGAAATACTGACGATCTTAAGATTCAAAGTCCAAAGAATAAAAGTTTTTATGAATATGAGGTTACTTTGACTCAATCAAAGCCCAGACAAGTGCTGAGCAAATAAAATTAGCAGAAAGATGATTAATAGTTAAGATAATGAGTGTTAATTTGTGTAGCAGTTTCAGGCAAATGTTAGAAAATAGTGATTTTTGAAGCCACTATGTATGCTTGTAGTGACTGCTGTCAATAACAAGTTTGGATCAATTGGGTGATAGAAAGTTATCCAATGGTAAAGTAATATGGGATGTAACTAACATTATACAGACTACCATACAGAAGGCTCTCTTTATATCTCTAATTCATTCATTGATCTCCATTTTACCTAAAGCACTTAAACTTAGGAAACTTTTTTTCAATTTTAGCTTTTCCCCCAGCTCAGGTTTTTGGTTTTACTCTGAAAACAAATATAAATATACTTTATTTGATGATGGAGTGGGTAAAATAAAGTTTGTTGCACCTCAGACGTGATGAAAACTAGGAGTCTTGGCATTAAGGGTACAGTGAACTTGAAATGGTTAACAAAATCAATGAAACAATCTCAATGTGAAATAATTTGATACATGTGTCCAACAAGAAATAACTTTTTCCTAATGGAGCTATAATTTTCAGCAAAGCAGCTGGATGAGACAACAGTGATAAATAACTGACACATTTGTGATGGAAACATTTATGTGAAATATGTGTTTTATAAACTAATTAAGATTGATAAAATATATTTACTGACTTCTTGTGGGTCTCTCTGGCAAACAAAGGCTCCCTATCTGCATCCTCATGTGTACTTGAACATTAATATGCTTTGATTCAGTATTGTATAACTTTTTCCATGGGAATAAACATAAATCACACTGATTGCAGCCATGAAATAATTGGACATTTTGCTCAATATATTTAGTGTTTTTTCCTTATTTCTTCTGGAAACTTGTTTACCTCGATACACAAAGCTGAAGTTGTTTGGGACTGATATGTGAGATACAATGTCTACCAGTGACCCAGTGGTTAATGTGAGTGTATCATCAAAGGAAGAGATCATTTCTATTATCTTGGCAACTTTATTAGTTGTCCTACTTTTGCTACATGTGATATTTTACATTGTTTTCAACAGAAAAATAGAAGAATGGTATAAACATTTCAAGAAATTGTTCTCAAAGACCAAAGTGAAAACACCAAGAGTAACTATTATGAAAGTCAAACCCATCAAAATTAGCAATGGTGTGGAATCTGTGTGTTCCTCCAAAGACTGCCGTCCGAAAACTGCAGGTTCATCATGTGAAAAGGTGTCCAAGCTCTCGGAATCTCCTAAAAGACTGGAAAGGAGTTACTCCATCCCACCAACTTCATACGTTAATACAGTCACTTTAGATGATTTACAGAATTTTTCACTGGAAATGGGGACTTTTTCTTGTGAAAATGAATCAAGCAGAATAAATGCCCAAATAAGTGACACTGTTCTTAAAAATGGACAGTTAGAAATACAAAATCCTGTTGTACAAAATGTCAAATTACAGATGGAAATGGATCAAATACATTCAAATTCTAGCTAAAATGTTGAATACAACATTGTTAGTTCTAAACAATACCTAATTCTGATGCTTAAGAGAATACCTTAAACCAAAGAAAAGGAACTTTTAACCCTCCTCTTTTAAATCAATATAGTTATAAGGTAACTTTATTATATTTCTTACATAAAGTCTAACAATTTTAATTAATCTGATTTCATTCATGTCAAGCTTCGATTCTGCATTGTGACAATAAAAGAACATTTTACATTTTGATAAGAAATCGATATATTATTTTTGTCTCTAAGAAGCTAGAATGTTCAATGGAGCTATTTCATTTTCATGCAGCTGTAATTTTGTTTTCATAAAATGATACATGTATATATAGTTGGCTGTTTTAAATAAAATATTAAATGTAAAAGATCAGTGCTGATTTTTTGCAGGGAATATCTCAAATAATAAAAGATCACCTTCAAGTTTAATAAAGAAATGCTAAAAAAAAAAAATGTATTGTACATTGTACTTTGCTTTAAATAAATGACTGCATGCGATCAACAAGATATACTTTTTGAATCATATCTTAGCAAGAGGGCCATGGGCCAAAACTCTAGCCTGAATCTAAATCATAGACATTTTGTATCTTTTCCCTTATAATTCTTTCACATTTCTTTCTAATGAGAAATTTTGACCCCACTTTTTTATGACAATAATCTTTTAATGCTAATTTAGTGTGAAACTGAAAAAAAAATATTGATAGGTAAATTGCCCCCCCCCCCCCCCCCCCTCCTCACTCTTTGGTAAGGTATAATCAATTCCATACGAACAAATTTTTAAAAAAAACAAACAAAAAACAAACCTAACAATCAAATCCTATTTTAACCAATCACATGAAAAATGCAAATCCTATTTTAAGACTATTTTTACTTTTTTTTAAACTTGGCTGGCTGAGATTTATATCATTGGGTGCATTAACCCTTCCAGCCAACACAGCTTTCAAAACATTCAATGACTGTGTGAAAAAAAAAATAAATATAGTCCAGCTGTTCTTGAAAAGAAGATTTTGAGAAATATTTTCTCCTATTTATAATTATTATAACTTTAATCCCCTTCTATAGCCCAATGCTAGTATACCTCCAAGTAGGTTTTTTCTTTTAATTCTTGCACAGTGGGTCTTGAGAGATTTTTGAAGACAAACAAACAGCTAGGTTCACTTTATCTCAATTAATTAATTATTACCCTCTTTCTCATTTCATATATCAAATTAAAGTAGAAACTTAATGCTTTTGTTTCCTACAATAAAATTTCTTTATGAGAATCAAGATATTGGAAAACAGGCTTTGAGAAATCGCAATTTTCTTGAAATTTGTAGAAAACATGCGTATTTTACTACCTTCAGCAAAGAATTAAAACATGAGCACACCCCAATTAAGATCCAAAAAATAAAACATGTTTTTTGATCTTCAGAAACAGATCTTTCATAATGTATTTGCATATTTTGGATCAGAGGTTGTGCTCTATATGCAATATTGAAAAAATACTTCAAATTTAGGCCATTTTCAAAGGAATTCACAGGATATGAGGAAAATGACATATTTTATGATGTCATAATACATTGACTAGAGGGAAAATTACATTATTATTAATAGATACCTGGTCAACAACACTCCAAGAGATAAAAACTGCATTTGCAACCTAAACTGAGTGGTTTTGATTTTTCAGAAATTCTCAGGGCCAAATAAGGCCCAAAGTGGCTCTTGCTCTTTTCACTATTTTCCTGTCTTTAGAAAGGTGTGGCCTCTTATATGAACAAATCTGAAATCTCCCTTGCCATACAATACTGTGATGATTTCGGTGGAGAAGTTAACAATTGTTCCAACAATTTTCAATGCATAATAAATTAAATGACAAAATTAAACAAATATTATTTTGAAAATTAAATAAATTGGATCAATAAGTTTTTTTTAATAATCGCTGCATTTTTTTCTGGTTAGAATATATTGCATAATTTAATTTACTTCATCATTTCATGTGTTCATGTAATGTTAACATCTATAGATATACATTTTTTGATTCACCAAAAAGTCAGTGAACCAGAAGTCTCTGTCGAGACTGAAGCTCTACTGGTTTGTACTTATAGCAAAGGAAGAGAAAAGTACTTAATAAGCAGTTGGAAATTGAAACTTTTCAACAGCAATAAATAGAATAATGATCCTTGATTAAGTCTCTTTATGTTCTTAGTGCAGTCTACTTGCATGCCACATTTATATTATAATCAGACTAAAACTGTAGGAGTAGCATTTTGAAAAGAATTTCACAGAAATTTCTATTTTTAGTAACCACGGCAACACCGTTCATCGAAATCAAAAACCGATATACAGAATTATGTATCTTAGTGTAGTCTACTTGTGTGCCAAGTTATATTGAAATCAGACTAAAACTGTAGAAGGAGTAGCATTTTGAAAGAATTTCATAGAAATTTCTATTTTTAGTAACCACGGCAACACCGTTCATCAAAATCAAAAACTGATAAACAGAATTGTGTATCTTAGTGTAGTCTACTTCTGTGCCAAGTTATACTGAAATCAGACTAAAACTGTAGGAGAAGTAGCATTTTGAAAGAATTTCACAGAAATTTCTATTTTTAGTAACCACGGCAACACCATTCATCGAAATCAAAAACCGATACATAGATTTATGTATCTTAGTGTAGTCTACTTGTGTGCCAAGTTATATTGAAATCAGACTAAGACTGTAGAAGGAGTAGCATTTTGAAAGAATTTCACAGAAATTTCTATTTTTAGTAACCACGGAACACCGTTCAACGAAATCAAAAACTGATACACAGAATTATGTATCTTATTGTAGTCTACTTGTGTGCCAAGTTATATTGAAATCAGACTAAAACTGTAGAAGGAGTAGCATTTTGAAAGAATTTCACAGAAATTTCTATTTTTAGTAACCACGACAACACCGTTCATCGAAATCAAAAACCGATACACAGAATTATGTATCTTAGTGTAGTCTACTTGTGTGCCAAGTTATATTGAAATCAGACTAAAACTGTAGGAGGAGTAGCATTTTGAAAAGAATTTCACAGAAATTTCTATTTTTAGTAACCACGACAACACCGTTCATCGAAATCAAAAACCGATACACAGAATTATGTATCTTAGTGTAGTCTACTTGTGTGCCAAGTTATATTGAAATCAGACTAAAACTGTAGGAGGAGTAGCATTTTGAAAGAATTTCACAGAAATTTCTATTTTTAGTAACCACGGCAACACCGTTCATCGAAATCAAAAACCGATATACAGAATTATGTATCTTAGTGTAGTCTACTTGTGTGCCAAGTTATATTGAAATCAGACTAAAACTGTAGGAGAAGTAGCATTTTGAAAAATTGTTTACAGACAGACAGACGGACAGACAGACAGACAGACAGACGACGGACGCATAAGCTCTTCTGGCCTCTGACCGGTAGAGCTAAAAATGGGCATCAGAATACATTCCCCATATCAATATAATTTTTTTTTTGCCTTACACTTTCTTTTTGCCTTTTTTTTTGCCTTACACTTTCATATTTTTGAAGAGAATAACAGGATTTCTACATACTTAATTGTAATATATCACAAAGAAACAAATACAAGAATTGCACAGATGAATGTTCATTTATATTAAGTTATCAAACCAGGTTTAAACCCACAATCACACAAACAAAGGGTTGAAGTAAATAAAGAAGGCCGAGTTTAAATGTTAGATATACAGAACAAACAGTCACCAATCTTGTTGGTAAATTATTCATGCTGTCATGACAGATGAACAAGGCAGTTATCTCCCCTCATGATTAGCCGGCCAAATTGTGGCTCATTTATACATAGTTTTTGATTTACTAAATAAGATTTATTTACTATGCACGTCATGTAAGGCTACAAAACTGCTTTAACTTTGGCAAAACCGTCATCTGGGCAATATTACTTTTCACTTGCTATCTGCAAGGTAGACATGTAACTGCACAAATGACAGATGCATGAAAGTGCACAGAAGAAACAACATTTGATCACTAATTCTATGATAAATGTGACGTGATATCAAAATGCTTACTGGAAAATATAGAATCATAATTTGTGTCACCTTCCTTGTGGTTTTTGTGCATTGCATAGAAAAACGCTATGATGGAATTTGTCCAAAGAAATGTATTTTGTGTGAAAAAAATGATACTTCTTGGGAAATATTGGGTGCTGTCTGCCAAGATGTGAGGATAAGTGAACTTGCTGGACCTGTGAAACATGTGCATATATATGATGGAACATCGGACAAGATTCCAAGTGGCATTCTCAAAGATTTTCTATTCCTTGGAATTGAGGATTTAACCTTTCTTAAAATAGAAAATTACGGATTAAAGTATATTTGGGGATCTCCATTAATAAACAACACACACCTAGAGGTACTTGATCTCACTGACAATGAAATATCTGACATTTCTGCTAAATCTTTTTTGGGTCCTACTGACTTGCTTGTGCTCATTTTGTCTAAAAATAACATCTCATACATTCCAAATGATACATTTTCTGACTTACAAAGTCTTACCAACCTTAACCTGTCATATAATCACATTGACAGCATTAGTCAAGATCTTTTTAATGGCCTACCTAAATTGACTGACTTAGATTTGTCACATAATAAAATTGATTCCTCTAGTCTTAAAGATGCAATGAAGGACCTTATTACAGTAGAGAAATTAAAACTGGGTTATAATCAATGGAATTCTGTGCCTTCGAAGCTTTTTACTGGACTCCCACACCTGTATTTTCTCAGTCTAGAGGGAAACAATTTAGCAACCATTTCCCCAAGTGATTTCACAGGAACAAGTGTGACCATTATAAACTTATCTAACAATAACTTTACTCAAATTCCAACTTGGGCACTAGAAAAGCTGTCAAAATATGATCTTGTTTTCAACCTCAGTGGAAATTTCATTGAAAAACTAGAAGATCTCGGCAACATAACTGTTGACTATTTAGATCTTAGTGGTAATGGAATCAAAGAGATCCAAGATCCAAATGTTTTCTTCAACTCACACATCACAACCCTTGACCTGCATAACAATCAGTTAAGGTCACTTCCCCAATCCATGCAGCTCTACCTCCGAGTGATGGAAACCCGTGAGCTAGTTCTGTATGACAATCCATGGCACTGTTCCTGTGATATTAAATGGCTGACATCTTACGTCTATTTCCATTACTCAAGACATGATCCTGTTTGCAAAACTCCTCCAAAATATGCAGGCAGAAATTTAGGGAGCATATGGAGGAACCTTGAGAGAGACTGCTTACATTCCACAACCACCACCAGAAAGGCAGCAACATCTACACTCCCCCCAATGTCAACTAAATCTTCAAGTTTCACCAAGCAAACAATTCCTATATCCACCTCGACGATAACCTCAGATTTTTCTAAACTTTCCACACACATCATTGAAAGTACTACAGCAACCGCTAAATCAACTGCCAGAACAAATTTTCCTTCTAGTACATCCAATTCACAGATGGCATCTGCATCCCATTCTGCTATTTTTGAGAAAACAACTACTTCTATTCCAGCAATTTTTCCAAGTAGGTCTGGAAATATAACCACTTCACAAAATGTTACCTCTCCTTCAGTTACATTATCCATTGCATCAGAAGCAACTCCTTCCTCCGTGACACTTAACACCATTACCGAGGTCCTTTTATCCACCATCTCAACAAGTCCACAGAATCATACAACTGATTCTTCCTCTTCACCAAGCAAACATCAAACCTCAGAATATTCAACATCTTTTCAATTATCAACTAAGGAAAATCCAACAGTGAATACATTTCAACAAATCATTTCCACTGAAAATCCCACATTCATTGAGCAGACAAGCAAGACACCACATACAGCAGAACAAACCAATGCCAAAATTGAAAATACTTCTGTATCATATGAATACTTAACCTCAACAGAAAACAGCAATAAGGAAACATCAGCATCTCAAACTACTAGTGAAACTTCCTTTATGGTATATCAAACCTCTGAGGCTGAGACATCAGAAATCCCAGGAACAATGACTTCTCAAAATTATCCATCCAAAACAAGCTTGTCATCAAGTAAGACCACAGATCAAACTAATGGTGTTTCTTTTACTGGTTTTACCACCTCTGATGAATCACATGGTTCATTAACAGAGTTTTCAACACATGGAAGTTTTATAACCACTGAGACATCAGATAAGATTACATTTTCAGATAGGGGTTCATCAACTATAGAATCAGACAGAAGTGCTACTACTCAGTACTCAGAAATAACAACAGTCATGTCTCATACAAAACCAGAGACAACAGGCCCTGTGGAAACCTCCACATCATCATCTACTACAGAAAAAAAAACATCACAAGAGAAAACATCAGATTATTGGCAAACAACACCAATAACAGGTTCACAAACAGAGCAAGTATCTGGAAGTCTAACTATAGCACAACAAGGAACAACTATAAACGAATCAGAAACAACTTCAAGCCCAATCCTTACTCACATTGAAACAACTGCAACTCAAGCTCCCTCTGAATCAGTAACAATGACTAGTGAAAATCTGCCCTTCTTAGATTCAACAACTAGTCATCTTATACAAATATCAACTTTAAATACAACAGAAAACATTCTAATAGAACAAACTACTCCTGAGAGTATATCACAATCAGAAACAATGAAACAGAATGAAGTAACTAGCCAATCATTGGTTGAAGTGTCAAGTAAAACTGAGATCAATTATGAGCAAACCACCTTTGCCCAAACAGAAATTACCCCACAATATTCTCTTAATGGACAAACCAAACCTGTAACAAAAACTGAGAACATTAAAAACACAGGAACCACAGAGAGTGAATTTTCTTCTTCAAGTAGTCCAGAAAGCTCCACTGGGATTGCAAGTTTAACTCAAACCAATTCTTCACCACAAATGTCCAGTCAATGGACAGCAGAAACTAATGGCTCATTGCTTCAGACAACAAGCCAAACATATACAGAAAAGGAGATAAGTCAGGTTGAGACAACCACACAAAACACTATAACAACAACACTAGAGGGACAACTGGGAAACATAACAGCAGGACACAAAACAAGCAACTTTTTGACACAATTGGATACTACAACAAAAGCTAAGGTGCTGACTTCCACAATGCAAACAAAAGACACGGGAGAGACAACTAACCTGACCACTGAAGTGGCTAATGAAAACACAACAGTTACAGACCATGACTTAACTACATTTAGTTCAACCCCTCTAACCACTTCAGAATCTGACAATGTGAAATCTACTGTAATGCCAAGTCATCAAACAGAAACCTTATTGTCTAGTACACCATCAAATAATTCAATGACAACAGACTCCATGCAAACCCCAACATTAAATTCAAATTCAACAATAACCGTATCATATTCTCCAGGAAAAATTGATGGAAGCAACCTTACAACTGCAAGATCCTTTACACAGAGAGCAACTACAGAATCTTTAACTACTGATCATCTATTACTTGCTAACACAACATTAACAAAAATTAATACTAATTCAGCTTCATCACCATCTTCACCACCTTTCACATCAACCTCGAATACATCTGTTAGTCCCATATTGAATGCGACGACAAGTGTAACAAACCAAACAAATTCAACTGCCCTACCTTATACAGATAACAGAAATACATCACATGGGACCAATCAGATTTCAACAGAGAGCATAACCTCTCCACAAACATCAGAAAAGTTAGTGCAGACAACAGAAATGGTACAGACTACAGGCACCATTCCAACTACACAAACAACAACAACAACTGAAAGAATGACCACACAGACAAGTGAAATAAACACTCCAACTAACAAACTAACCACCAAAACAGTGTATTCATCAACATCCTCACACTCAACTAATCAGGTGCATAGTGCTCTAGTCCTAGCGACCACTCAACTAGTGAATACAAGCTCCACAGCATCAGTATCTAACGGGATACCTGTCACCAGTACTGAGAACAGTCCAACTAATTCCACTAATCAGCCTGCTGCCCAGAAAACCTTGGCAGAGTCCGTCAATACTAGCATTGCAGCTATTGTGGCCCCCATTCTTGCTCTGCTCATCATAAGCTGCCTAGGATTTCTAATTTTTGCTGGAATCAAACGGAATTTGTTAAACAAGATAACAGATAAGATACTTTGCTCTAATGAAGAAGACTTTTTCATGCCAACTAAAGAGTTTGATCAGGCCAAGCCAATGTTTAATAGAAAGGTTAAGAGTGGTTACAGTGTTTTTGTGACTGAAAATGATGATTATCGCAAGGACAATTAAACAATTTTTTTTATATAATTCATGTGTATATTTGTATAATTAAAATTTAAAACTTAAAAATGGTTTAGAAATATATCATGAGCTTATCTTAATGTTCAAAGTTCAATGTTAGTAAACTTGCTGCTTTTCAAGGTTTTATCTAAATAAATATGTTCAAAATTGTTCACTTCTCTATCTCCAAAGGAACAACTTACTCCTTATAAAAGTCTCCTTAAATTGACAGAATGTTTTAAACAATGCTCTATAAACAGAGAAATATTGAAATTGACAAATACACAGTAGGGAGACTGTATGATGGTATATTGAAATAAAGGCCATAGTATGGGTCTTTTCAAATAATCTGTTAATCTTGCTGAGTAATACATTACAACACTGTTAATCAATAAATTGTCAATTAATATTGCCATTACCATGAAAATGTTAAAATAAATCAGGATACTCAAACACAGTTGATGAGCATGAATTCCAATTTTATCTGAAACATGCGATTTGTGTTGCATCCTCTTGACTGATTATTAATGCAATAACTTGCATTTACGACCGGAATTGTAAACTTCAGACAAGTGCACCCTGGGAAGAGTCATCAATACATTGCATTAGCTCTGTTGATCTAGGCTTCTAAATCCGTCGAATTTTCTGAGCTTAAGAGAAATGAATTTCCGGACACCTATTCATATTATTGAAAGCCAGTATAAACAAATCTTTTCATGAAAAAAGGTTTTAGTTTGGGTTTTAGGTTTAATACAAATGCTTCTGTTCCATAAAAAGTTTTGAGAAAATTCCTTTAGAGGAGAATTTGCCTCCTACTTTGGTATTAAATACAGTTTTCATTGCAGTGACTCAGTAACTTTTTATCCCACAGAGTTTGAAATAAAATGGAAGAACAAGGTTCACTAAGGGCCTTTTTGGCCCGGTGATTTTCTGTGCAAATAAAACTGCTTAGTTTTAGTTGACAATGCATTAGATAGCATGAAGGTACTTGGTGACTGTGAATCTGTGAACAAAGCCAATTACAGATTACTGAGTTCACCTCAACGAATGCTGTCTTTAAGTAAGGTAAAGTCCCACACTAAACTTAAAATCTAGCAGTGTGAGTCCCAAGATGAAACATTTATGCAATTTTTATCTGATAGGACAAGCAGGTACTTGGTAATTAACTTATCAAAAAAAATTCAAACTAGTTACTCATCCAGAAAATATAATCCAAATCCAACATCTGAAGCAAGTTTAAGAATGTTTATCCTTTCATGTATCATCAATGCAATTTTGGTTCAGATAGGCCTTATAGTTTCTTGCTAATGGGCCTGTGCCAAGAACTTTAACACAGTTACTCATTTGGAAAAAAAGGTCAATTCCAGCATCCAAAAGCAAGTCCAATAGTGTGCATTCTCCGATGCATTAAGTTTGGTAACGGTACAGCAAATAGTTACTTTAAAGTGAACCTGCTCCAAAAACTTTCATTTCATTGTGAGTTATAATCAATAATCACTGCAGGGCTCAAAATTAATATGACTGATAAAAAAATCTTGGCAGACTGAAAACATTTACTCAAATCAGTTTGACTGGACTGGTCAATTTTTGTTAAATTTCTGCAGGTATCAGGGGAAGCAGGTGAAAGCCAGAAATTATTTTTCACATAAGTGCTACAGTACAAATTGATCAACATTTACAAAGTAAAAATCCTGACGAAATTAATTAAAATCAGTGCAAAAAATCATACAAGTTTTTCTTTTTTCCATATTAAAGATTGACACCAAAAATTTCTTCACAATTTCTGGAAAACTCAAACTGGTATATTTTGCAGGAGACTGGTTGAAATTATAAATTTTATCAGCCCAGCTGGACAAGTAACCAAAAAAAAAATAGTTCCAAGCCCTGCATTGACTATAGCTACTGGAACTAATTTCATACCATGTTTAATGATTTTTAAGACTCATCTAATGTCACTGATATGTACTTTAAGTGAGAAGTACAAATAGAAGAATTAATTATTGTGTATACACATAATAAAATCATTAAAGCTTCCCTGCTTACAAGTCATCATAAAAGTACAGTGTATTTACAGTCTTTCAATATTTTCTAATTAATGTATATCATTTCTTCACTATAATATGACATGATGAAAAGCTATTGCACTTTTGTCATATGATGCCAAATGATAATTACATAATTACAAATGACAAACTACGAAATCAACTTATTTCTAATGAGATATCAATTTATGCCCAAATTCTTGTCAGTCTGCATTATTTGATATTTTTTCTTCAATTTGCTTTTACTGACAAACGACTAGACACAAGGCTTGGCCTACTGTAAAATACTGTAAGGTCAGATGTTCCCATCTATCAGCATTAGTCTCTGTGCTCTGTTAGATACTATATATTCTGGTGAGTGACTTACCCCAGTGGATAGGTCAGTCAGGGTCTGGGTCAACACGATGTTGAAGACTGCGTGAGATCTACTACTCTCATTGTTCATGTTGGTGGCTGCTACTGTTCTAGACTTGTTCCCCTCATTCATCAGATTGTCAATGTCCTACAAATAATTAACAATAACAAAATGATTTAAAATTAAGCCTTTGGGGGGAAAAATCAAATTTTCATTGCTTATGTCAAATTTTAATTAACTTCCACTACAGGGATAAAATGGGTTTGCCAAGTTTTGGTGTTTTTTTTTTGCTCTGCATGCAAATTAAATTTCTAATTATCGATTAAAAAAATGTAATCATTTCATTTAAAAATTGAATCAACAATCAGGTATAAATGTAAATATAAGGAATACCGTAACTGTCTGATCTATACTAAAAAGTGCATGATTCAATTTTTACTGATAAATAAATGTTCATATGGAAATCAATAAAAACTCAATAATCATGAATAAATTTGAATATTTTTTAGTGTAAACCATTAGAGTTATGCATTGATTTCTATAGTCTGAGAGACTTCTGGAAAAAAAAACTCCTTTAGTTTTCCATTGTGGGTGTATTATCTCCGAGTGTTACTCTTGATAAGACCACAGCAGTTGTTCCTCTTCCCCGTTGAGTTTACTTCATGGTGAGAGAGAAGAGTTATGTTTCTTGAATCACATCAATCTTTTTATTCTCCATAATCAAACATTAAGGGGCATATAGTTCTGGCCCTGTCTGTCCATCTGTCTGTCTGTTTTTGTTTATTTGTTCTCTCTCTCGAAAATTTCTTTTAACTCATATGGAGATGTCACCGCATGCCACTAGACGCCTATCCTCAACACTCAATGCTACTGAGCAGGGAAGGATCTTTTTTGTGCCAACTGTGACATGGGAGCTTAGTTCATATGGATTATTCCAAATGACCAGTCTCTATGTCCCAGAGTGGATTCGAACCCTCTATGTACGGATAAACTATTTACTCTGTCACTCTAGAGCAGATGTTCTATCCACTGTGCCTTGCAGGTGATGTCTGTTTGTCTGTTTGTTCACAAAAAACTTTATCCTTGCCCATATTAATTGATTGTTGCATTTGAAATGTATTTTACAGAATCTTTGTATTTATACAATATGTGTACTTAAAAACAATATGTAATAGCAAAAACATTAATTGAAGTGTTACCGGTCTATAAATATCTTCTTTTCTACATACAATAAAGGCATTTTAGATAACTCTAAACTGAAAAAAAAATCAGGAGCACTTAGCCTCTTTATTCAAATTAAACTGTTCTGCAATAGTGACAACATTCATAAGATCTTTATTCAAATTAAACTGTTCTGCAATAGTGACAACATTCATAAGATCTTAAAAAGTTCAGAAGCCATTTAGTGGGTATATATTGTTATCCTTTTAGAAAATCAACACATATATAAAACACCTGCATGACAATGAAGGGATAACAAATGAAATTGCCAGTCTCTAAATCAATAGCTTTTTGAATGCATCACAACTTTTTCATGCTTATCCCATGCACCACCAAGATTTATGGGATGGCCTGCATATCGGAATGAATTATACATAAACTGAGAACACATTAAAAATATGGCTCAGTGCATTATACCTGTACCATTAAGTAATTAGTGGTATATGACACCCTTATTAGAGAGCAATACTTTTTATATCAGAAACAAAACTCAGCACTAAAGCTATATGAGATGTAAACCTCCATTAATTTGCATACGACAAGATTAATGCATCACAATATACAAGACACATTAAAACTGCCCAAATTTTAACAAAATCATTTTAATGATTGAAAATGTCTTTATAATTTAATGGAACATGTTGTTATAATCAAGTCCAGATCTAGTGAAGATTTACAGATTTATGAAAGCTAAAAAAAATGAAAACTATCTCCGGTATGAAGTTTTTATTCTCTCCAGTTATAATCTGGGATCAAAATTACAGGAACTTATATAAAAATTCATTGAGAGACTTCTCAGAACAACACACAGACCAAACCATTGATAGGAAAACTCATCAACTTGATGTCATATAAAGGAAACTCATAGATATGATAATATATGGACATTGATCAAGAAACCTATTGAAAAAATGCAAATTAAAATTAGTTATGTTTCTATCAAAATAAATGTAGAAAACCTGTATTTCAGTAAACTCATGCACTGAAATATTGTTCTCGAATATGTTTTACTTAAACTGAAGTAAAAAACAAATTGTGTTTGTATAAACCTTAAGTTTTCAAAAGTAGGTCAAACTTCAAAGTCATAGTTATAAGGTAAAAAAATGTTGTTAATCAGACTCACCTTCTTTTCGCACACAACATTCTACCTTTTATTGTTGCCCAACTCTAGTCCCACATAAATTCACATATCATTTAAATTAAAAATCATGTCCAAAATTTCCTTAAGCAATTCACACCTCATACAAGGCCTTACTTTCCTGCAGAATATCTAAACATTCATTAGGTTAAAAATTACTTAAGAATAAAGCATGAGCTTTGGAGAAAGCCTCAATCAGTCACAAGAACAGCACTCCACTGTACTCCAGATCAAAAAAAAGAGAAGACGAAGGACAACATGGAGAATGAAATAAGAACCATGGGGATCGCTGACAAGACTGGCCCAGAGGTGGAAAGACTTTGTTGCTTCCCTAGACACCACAGGATGTAATGGCCAATGATGACGACTTCAATCTAACACTGGGACTTTAACTTGACATATTGTGTTGGATTTATGCCCATGACCCAGTGGTGTACAAAGACATACCTCATATGATGCTACAGCTAACATAGACAAGCCATCCACATAAGGTCCCAGGATGTTGTGTTCTCGAACTTTTAGATTCTGCTTACTTCTACAATAAAACAAATATCTTCAATAATTGAACTTGAAGTTATTGCAGATGATGTACTTCTACACAGCTTTTCTGGCACCAAATATCAAGAATTTATAATATATGAGAAATTCATTTAATTAGTATTTCTACTTACTGTAAATCACTAAATTTTCGCGACACCTTATTTTCGCGAGATAGTCATTGACTCTTTATTAGCGAGACATAATTTTCACGAATTGTTGTTTTTCCTCTATATAATCGTAAGGAATACAATTAAACGTGAGAATGAAATTTTCGCGAGCTCATTGGAAAATTAAGTTCTCGCGAACAAAACGTGATTTACAGTATCACACAGTTCTGACAACTTTCAGAATCTTTCAAGTTCTTAAACAAAAAAATTGCAGAGATATTCACAGACAAACTCTATAAACTTTCTTTTAATACTCATTCTGTAAGCAACAAAACTTATTGTTAATACATAGGCTTTTTACTATCCAGAAGTGATATCCCCTTACCCTTTAGGGTCCAAGAGATCATGAACTTTTTCATTATAAATCTCCATGTAGGAGACCTCTACTTTAAAGCTGGTGTCTTCACTGCGTAGTTTGGCGATGCGTTCAAACATGAGATCACAGAGTCGGGGGATGATTCCTTTACCTTCACTCTGCATGCTCCCCATCATAGTGAAGGATTTACCAGAGCCTGAACAAAGATATAACAGTAAAACTAAATATCAACATCATAGTGAACAAAGATATAACAGTAAAACTAAATATCAACATCATAGTGAAGGATTTACCAGAGCCTGAACAAAGATATATCAGTAAAACTAAATATCAACATCATAGTGAAGGATTCACCAGAGCCTGAACAAAGATATAAAGTAAAACTAAATATCAACATCATAGGGAAGGATTTACCAGAGCCTGAACAAAGATATAACAGTAAAACTAAATATCAACATCATAGTGAAGGATTTACCAGAGCCTGAACAAAGATATAACAGTAAAACTAAATATCAACATCATAGGGAAGGATTTACCAGAGCCTGAACAAAGATATAACAGTAAAACTAAATATCAACATCATAGGGAAGGATTTACCAGAGCCTGAACAAAGATATAACAGTAAAACTAAATATCAACATCATAGGGAAGGATTTACCAGAGCCTGAACAAAGATATAACAGTAAAACTAAATATCAACATCATAGGGAAGGATTTACCAGAGCCTGAACAAAGATATAACAGTAAAACTAAATATCAACATCATACTTGCCAACCTCCAGCATGTAAAAATCTGGTCATGACCAGATTTGGAAAGTAAAAAATCTGGTCATAACGCGTAACGACATTCACGACATATTTACCATGATTAGATTTTATACATATATATACAAAGTATTTAATTATGTATTGAGAATTCTTTTATTGAAAAAGGCTTTAATTAATACAATGACAAAAAATTCATACATAATTTGATTAATAAATTTACATGTTAAAAATGAGAATTGAATATTTCAGTATTGACCTCACTAAGTAAGTGTAATTTTTTTTTTTTTTTAAAAGCCTTTTCAGTTTTCTGTTAAATTTGAAAGTATACCAATGTAAGTCTTGAAGTTATTTTTCCTCTCTTTTAATTTATTAACTACTGCAATATGTATTAAATGTGAAGTTGAATTTTTTTCCCCAAGATTCCTTGATATGTACATAAATATTATTTCGCTTTTTCTTGGTTCAGTCAGAGACGTGTGTTCAATTTGTTCCTGCTGGCCCTGATAACAATCTAGTTCTATCGGAAGCCATTTTAATTGACTTCAAACATTGATTTGTCAAAACAACACTCAGTTAATTGTTTACACCTGCACTGATAATTAATCCATCGTCATTGTTTACGTAGATCTAAGCTTGGGCAATCGGAGTTCCTCGGATGACTCGTACCTCGCACATAACCTCGGACGTCAACGGTGATCTTCCATCTTGCTGATTCAGTCATGTGATCTTATTTGAATTTCATTCAAATATTATACTTTTTAAATCCGAGTTACTTTGATGCACGCCCAACACTGTGTTCTTGCATTCAAAGAATACTAACATTTGGTTGTAATTAACACGAGGAATTACACAAATAAAGAAACCTTTTCTAAGAACTTTAGGCAGAGCGAAATATGAAATGAGTGACAAGGCAGTTTCCGGCGGAGAAATGTAGCGATCTGATGCGAATTCCTCCACCTATCACATCCGAGGTTTGAATGGAGCGTAGCGGAGTCAGCCGAGGATTGCCGATTGAAGCTTGGGTTGTAACTGGAAGTTAAAAGTGCAACCTAATTTACGAACCAAATCCGGAAATCGGGAGATTTTCGGGTCGTTCAACAAAAATCGGGTGAAAAGCATGACCCGCCGGGTCATAAAAAATAATCGGGTTACGGGTTGAAAAATCGGGTGTGACCCGACGAAATCGGGTGAGTTGGCAACTATGATCAACATCATAGGGAAGGATTTACCAGAGCCTAAACAAAGATATAACAGTAAAACTAAATATCAACCTCATAGTGAAGGATTTACCAGAGCCTGAACAAAGATATAACAGTAAAACTAAATATCAACCTCATAGTGAAGGATTTACCAGAGCCTGAACAGAGAAATACAGTACAGCTACACTTCAATGTAATACTCATCATTACAGTGACACAAAGATTGAATAAAATTTATTAATTAGGCTACATTTATTTAATTTTGACTGTAAATGAATAGGTTCTTAGGCAACACTTGCTTACATTTATATTTAATACACCTGGTTTCAAGAGTGAACAGATCAAGACTCGTATCAAGTAAGAGAAAAAAAAATACTTTTGCACATTTGTGATGTCATTTTTGGGAATTTTTGAGGGGTCAAGGATCAAGAGGTAACAGCATATGAACTTGATATCTGGGCAGCAAGTCACTTGAGGGTGACATATAAGTTATATCATGTCAGTAGACATCATATCATTAATAACAGTCAGTACAAGACATAATCAGTGTTATACAGTAGTTGCAATAGAAATCTCTACTGGGCAAGATGAAGCAGAGTCCAAATACAGATTTCTTTTTCATATAGAAATCCACAGGGTGTCATGTTATTTGTTTTCATGCATTAAATAATTTATAGAATTGTCTATATATATTTGTATTAGGTTTGATGCAGTATTCCCATTGACCAAATCATGAAATGTGAATATTTATTTTAATTCACCCCATCACTGTTTTTCTATGGGCAAAAATCCTAACTTACATTTGCAATACTTCAATATTAATGCTCAAAATTTTGGTTATGAATTTTTAAAATAAGTATGGACCAAGGGGAAATAGGATTTGTTTTCCCAGCAAAGAAGTTCACAGCAATTCTTATTTAAAGTTTCAAACTAACATGTATGCATACAACTTTACAGTATATTAATTTTTTTATATGAGGTTCCAATTTTAATCTATTTTGTAATCGGCCATATTACACCCTTGACAGAATTTATTTTTACTGAAGTTGTTTTTATACTTAATAAAAGGAACTATAAATGTCCCCGTGAGAGTTTGTACCTGGCTAAAATATAAATTATGTTACTTGGAACAATACACAATGCTTCAGAGGTGAAGGTGTTAAATTACCCCTTGTATTACCACACCATAAAACAATCATGCTGGCGTGCTATAAAAATTAGTTCACTAACAATACCCTTTTGAAATAGCTTTCAGATCAATATTTTTGTCACCTGTCTGTCCATAGGCAAAGATGCAGCCATTGTAACCTTCAAATGCCTTCTCCAGTAAATCTTTGCCAACACTGTTAAAGACATGTTCCTGACCTGCAAAACAGCAATATATACAGCAATAATGCACAATTACAGTTAAAACAGTCTTGCACTTCTTACAGATCTATTGGAATAGTGAAGCCAATCCACTATGTCATGCAAGGAACATAAATATTGAAGCAACATTGTCACTCCTAGAAATTGCTTTATGCCATTGCTCTGAAAATGGGGGAACTTTTCAGAAAATATTTAAGTACTCTGTTTAAAACAAATCTAGTCTTTAAGTGAAAGATGTGAATTGTAATTAAGGTTTAATTTCTATAACTGGTATAATTTACATGAAAAAAAAAATCAATTCTTAGAAAATGGTCCCTGCTTGCAATATTAATTCAAATAAAGTGTATTTGAAACATGACATAATAATTAAGAAACTGGTCTTCGTGTGACAGTCCTCTATCTATTTTCAGTATTTTGTTACACAAACTTCTTGGTGAGTTATTACAAAAGGTTTTAATCCTTAACTATCATCTTTTTTTTTCATTTTCATGCATACTTTTTCTATCTGGACATTTTTTCCTTCACTAAAGCCATTTACTATGAAAATTTCAAAGTCTTGTGCAACTGAAACTAAATGGAATGGTGAAAATAATGCATTAAATATACTTAATCAAAGGCCTGAAGGGCCTGCGAGTTGACTCGCTCGAGTCAATTGAGCTTTTTCATATATATGGGCACCATAACTTAATATATTCAGTTTATTTTGCATCTTAAGAGATTGAATACTGGTATTATATGTCTGATCCATGTTTGGTTCATAAATAAAGTGTATATTGCTTTTCCTTAATATATATACAGGTTGGCACTAATGGGCTTCCGTATCATTTTGACTGGATTCTATAATGAATTTCAGCACATTAGCTGAAGTGGTCAGTGTTATGGGATAATTAGGTTAAAGATTCCCACAGCAAATCTGGATTCTAAAAATAGATTTTCAACAACAACTAGCTGCAGCTAATTCTATAATGAGAGCATCAGGTGTTTGTGTTAGGGAGTATTCTAGGTCAATTATAAATAAACTTCAGATGGGAAGATTAGATCCGCCTAACATGCTTGAACATATATTCATACGCAGTAATTTTACATCATACAGGTATTTTATCAAAAATTTCTTTAAGGATGACGTTTACTCAGGTTTCAGAAATCAGAGAGGAAATTTTATAAAGTATAAAATATTAAATCAAAAATTGTTTTAAATGGATAAAATAACTTAGTTTTATCTCAATATCAATTTGAAATTTTAATATGTAAGTACTTGAAGAAAATATACAAGGACAAAACTCAATGTATGGCTATGCAGAGGAAATTCGGAATAAATTTTTAATTTTTCATTTTTGTCAAAATTTTTATTTCTTGCAATATTAATCACAAAGTAAAGGTTATATGCATTTTAAGACATCATTTTACAAATTTTATATATGTTTAAGCTCATAAATTATTTCAAATAAATTAATGCTATGAAATAAATAAATTCAAAAACGTGGACAAAAACCACTGCAGTCAACAAATCTCAATAATTTGATCATTGACCCCATATAATATTAATACCATGAGAATGAGGGTAACAAAAGTAACTTGGGGCTATAAATAATTTAGTGTTCTTATCAGTCAGATTTTTGCAATATTTGATTAAAAATCGGGAAAAAATATAAATATGGCAGAGGAAATTCGAACTGTAATAATTATCTCGTTTATGGCCCAAACTCTACTCATTTCTTTATATGGAGCAACTCTGTTCCATTGCTATAATATTTCATTATTTAAAGAGTTTTGTTGCTTTTAAGGTAGGTCGCGGGTTTACTGCCTAAAAATTCTTACGAGAAAACATATCCTGAAAATTTGATATAATGTTCCTGAGAATTTACTGCGTATTATCTGCAATTTTTATAAAATTTGCCTACGTAGTTTTAATGCTATATTACTATAAACGCGGTATTGTCATTAGTACATTTTTACGCTTTACTATTGAAATATATGGAAAAATGACGTTTTTTAAGCCAATTTTATGAAACTAGTTTCTTTTAAAAAGGTTGGATAACTTTTTAAAGACGTAGACGAATTAGTCAGGAATTTCAAAATGTGAAGATGAGGTAAAATCAAAACTATTGATATAAAAAAATCAATAAGTCTTCTCGCTAGATTTTTCGCTAAAAAAATTCAAAGTTCCCTTTTATATTGCTGAAATGTTGCGTTTATGGCGTTATTTATGTCTACAACGTCATTTGTTGAACGTTGTAACGTTTACCGTACGAATATAAATATTTTGATAAACGCAAAATTTAATTTTATTCCTCATTTAACTTATTGCGAAAATATATTAGGATGACCAGCAACTTATTTTCACTAGTATTGTGAAATTCATATTCTAATCACAGAGTCGGAATGAAGGGTATAAACATTCCTCGTGCATGAGAATTAACATGCATCGACAACACCGCGAGTGATAAAATATATTAAGTTCCTGTATTTTTAGGAAATTCATGGTGGAAAGGATTTCAGGCATAACACATAAATTTGATCACTTTTTTAAAAAACGGTAAAGAAAAAACTTCCAGATACTGGGGAAATTAGCCGGGGGGGGGGGGGGGGGGGGGGATTTCCTTTCTATATATATATATATTAGACGCAAGCTAGTATATGGGCCTTACTCTTTAACATTTGTTAATTTCGAATTCTCTAAATCAAATTTCCATGCACAAAATGTAAAATACATATACTTGAATTGAGCTTTTACACTTAGACTAGAGCTTTTGTTTAAAACTTTTAATAATAGAAAAAAATACTTGTAAATTGTTTACAGTGTCAAATAGGTCTTACAGTTCAGGTGTTTGTATAAATTTGGATTTTGAAAGCATTTCACAATTTATTAGCCATGCTATACGCATGTTTCCCCGAGTTGCAAATAACGTGCGCAAATTTATACGACCCTCAAGTTCTCCGCTAAACAATTTTATTTATGATAACTCTTTCTGCAACCATAACTTTCACGCTGACTTATTCTGATTGACTTTTAGCAGTTTAGTAATACTAGTACTTACATTATAAATTATTCCTTTCATTCAGCATTGTATTTAATTTTTCCTAGGGCATTACATATACTAGTAATCACATGAAAGTTCATACTGAAATTTAATTATAAAGCATGTACGAGGTTTACGTACAATAGCATGCACTTTGTATTAATCTACTTGATTCGTACAGACTGAAAGTCATTTGCAGAGAATTAAGCGGGAAACAACGCAACGTTGCCTTTGTGACGTAAATAACGTCATAATCAAATGTGCACAAAACAGCCGCTCGAATCGTCGAAATTGTGTACCAAAATTGATGACGAAAGCAAACCCGCGACCTACCTTAATATTTTGTGAGTGAAGAAAAAAATGGTCACAGCATCAAAAATTGAGGTATTTCCCGAGAAATACTCAGGGGCCCCTAGCACGAAAACGAGGTCATTGACCTAGTTATTTGAAAATGAAATTTAACACAAGAATCATAGGTGTACAATATGCAATAGGTGGTTTTTCGTTCTTATCAGTGGAATTTTTATTCCCCTGAGTAAAGGTATACCTTAAAAGCATATGAGGCAAAAATAATGTTACAGTATGAAATTTTATACAGTTTTTACCTCTTAAGTTTATACAATCACTCAAACCAAAGCATTTTTTGCTAGAACTATATATTTGGCATATGGATCACCTTGATGAATGCATGAAAATTTTTACAGCTCTGAAACGGCTACGTCGACAGGGAGTAGCTCCCTACGCGAGCCAACTCAAAAATAGATTTTTAAACAGAAAGATACTGTAGATTGGCAAATAATCACGATGGTTTTAATTTCGCTATGTTCGCGATTCATAATTTTTCTGCGAAAATAAACCCATCGTGAATGCTATCATTAGCTATTAAAAACGTTTAATTGATTGCAAGAAATTTTCTTACAGCATGAAATTAAAACCATCGCGATTTGAACTTTTTGAGAAATCGTGAAATTTTAACACCGTGTAATTAAAACGATTTACAGTATATCACTCTGTGAATCACATTTAAATCATGGAACACAGTCTTGTTAACATGTAACTGATTTTACTAAATGTCTAATATTCTCTGATTTTACTAGGAAAAAGAAAGACTAAACAGCCTTCTAAGTCCTTGGTGAACCCAGTAATTACTGTCTTAACAATTCTCCAATCTCTACTCTGATATTCATGTCCCGTTCTCCTCATGTAAAACATATCATCTGACAGGAAATTACAATCCCTAACAAATTAGATTACTTGGGTATTAGTCTGATAATTTCAGCATTACCATATAAAAGATATCAATGTAATTTGTTCAATATCTCTTTTTCACTGATAATTCACAAATTTTAAAAGCCCACAAAGGAAACATCACAGCAACAGATTATAGGCATCTGATGCAAGATCAGCCAAACCTCAATTACAAAACTGTTTGGTCTGTTCAGTGGATCCATCCATATTAATAGACTTAGATGTTGATTAAAAAGTTTTCTTGGGAAAGTTCTAAAATTGGTTACTTTGAATATCAGCTAAAGTTGAACTTCAGACTGAGTATTTCGGGCAAAAATATTTCAAAAGGATATGTCCAGATGATTTTTTCAGTCATTGATAAAAAAATTCTTGCAATCTGTATTAAATAAATCATTTAATACAGATTGCAAGAATTTTTTATCAATGACTAAAAAATATCACTTGGACATCACATATCCTTTTGAAATATTTTTGCCTGAAATACTCAGTCTGAAGTTCAACTTAGCTGATATTCAAAGTTCATATACCTGCAAACTTGGGGTTCTTCTCATCCATTGACCAGAATGAGTTGTCAAAGGCAAAAGACTGAAACAAAGCAATGCCATTCATTAAGCCATTCTGAAATTTATAAAACAGGTAAAAAAAATATGTCTTTGCTGTATTTAAACTAAACCAAAAATTATTGCACATTCATTGTGAAAGTGTAAAGTGCTACTATTAGAACATGACATGAAAGCATAAAATTATATATTTAGTTAAAAATGTCAATCTGTATTTGAATATTACTTTTAAAACTGACAAGGGGAATTATTGTAATTAACCTTAGTTCACCAACCTTAGGTTGTTTCCTACTTGCTTTCCTGTCAACACTGCCATCTGCTGGGCTGAAAAATTAAAATAAAATATTAATAATTTTTTCAGAGATATACAGAAGAAAAAATCTCTACATTAATTATATTTTATCAAGTAGATCCCCACTCTAACAAAACAACTTTTAAAAATTCAAACATTCCAAAGAGGAACCTTTGCTTTTTAGTATTCAATGGGAGAGAAAAAAATTGATTGAATTTCTACTAATAGAACCCCACACTAACATCAAAACTCCTGAATCCATATAAGGCCATGAATTTTAAAATTTACCTAGAGGACCAATGCTTATACTAATGTCAGCAGTGTCAGCTAATAGGGTTTTTGAAGATTGCATGAATTTTGATGGTTTTGGTCCCATCCTCATGCCCAAGAGAGGTGAAGACAATCAAATCTAAAATATTTTATTTTTCCTTTACCCATGGAGGCAACAAACCATAGTTGGTTGGAATTGAACAAGCCATTCCAGAGATTAAGCAGAAAATGTTCAATTTCTGTAATAGCTTTACAGACAAACATAAGGTGCAAAGTGTATCTTCTGCAGATGTCCATTTTTGCTGAATTTTGTAGATAGGAATTTTCTGTTAATGAATTTTTGTAGTTTATGCAACCTCAAAAATTAAAAAATGCATCAATAAATTTGCTACCTTAAACGGATCAAATTGCAAATTTTTCCAACCACAGAAAATAATACATATATAGAATGTCATAATTGTTTGATGTATTTCTCATTCTTTATAAAATCTTGAATAAAACAATAAATGATTGTTCCTTTCAGTTCCCTTACCATTTTCAAAGGACTTCACTGTGGAACTTTTACTGTTAATCATCGATTTTCTACGTAAATTTGTAAGATGAAAAGTTGTTAGATTCAAAGAACTTTTACACTTGAAATGGAAACCATTAACTGATATAGATTTCTGTAATAAATTCCCTAGAAAATTGAGTTGCTAGTAGCAATGTGAGCTTACTGCATGACTATGCAATACATTTACTGTCTCTGTTCAGAATCATTACATAATAGCACCTTCTCTGGAAAACAGGTGCCAAGTGTAAGGTAACAAAAAGAAACAATGATGTCTATGTATGACAGATATGGCCAAGATTAAAAATTCTTAAACCCCCCAAATTCCAAAGTGAAAGAGATAAAAATGTTGTTACCCCACCCCCATCCCACCCCGAAAAAAGGTCTCTTCACAAGGAATAAATTGTGCACTAAATATATGAAAGCCTGAATACAACAATTCAAAGTTCTGACCATGGTAAATTTTTTTAAACATATGTCAACATCAAGGAAAACGGAACACACATGTTGGCATCAGAATGAAGGTCTTCTTCAATCATATACACGTGATATATAAAAGCCATAGCACCAACTAATTAAAATTCATGCTCAATGTTCAAGTTTAGTTACTTGGGAATGAAAATATAGTCAAATCCAAGGTCAAGTAAAAAGTCTGGAAATATGTCCATAGACCCATCATCCATGCACGTTTGGTTCAGGTAGGGCTATATTACTAAAGCAACATGAAAATTTAGAATATGTATAAAATTTGATCCCTAGAATCATCCATGCAAGTTTGATGCAGCTGAATTGCTTGTTTGAAAATATAGGTCAGATCCAGCATCCGAAGCAAGTCTGGAAGTGTCCATCCCTAGATGCATCATCCATGCAAGTTTGGTTCAGGTAGGGCTTATAGTTACTTGGGAATGAAAATATAGGTCAGATCCAGCATCCGAAGCAAGTCTGGTAGTGTGCATCCCTAGACGCATCATCCATGCAAATTTGGTTCAGATAGGGCTTAATGTTACTTGGAAATAAAATGTAGGTCAGATCCAGCATCCGAAGCAAGTCTGGTAGTGTCCATCCCTAGATGCATCATCCATGCAAGTTTGGTTCAGGTAGGGCTTATAGTTACTTTATCCATGCAAGTTTTATCTAAGTAGGGTTTAATAATTCCTCAGGAATGGACCTGCTCCAAAAACTTTAACCTGGTCAGAAAATGTAGGTCATCCAGCATCCTCAGCAAGCCTGGTAGTGTTCATCCTGAGATGCATCATCCATGCAAGTTTGTATCAACATGTGTGTAGTTTGATAACACCATCTTGAATGGTATGTTTAAAACTGAGCTTAACACTTATTTAAGACAAGAGGCCCACGGGCCTTATAGGTCACCTGAGTATTGTGTAACAACTTTCAAACAATTAAATTTGCATGTTGTTTTAAACATCCATGAAATTCACAATTTACAATTTTGAGGTAGGGCTTATAGTTATTAACTTGGGAATGAAAATATAGGTAGATCAGCATCCGAAAATGCAAGTCTGTGCACCTCACCCTGGAACCACTCCATCCCTAGATGCAACATCCATGCAAGTTTGGTTTCAGGTTTAATTTTTTTCAGCTTATAGTTACTTGGGAATGAAAATATAGCTAGATCACCTTTCTTAGCATCCGATATATATATATATATATATATATATATATATATATATATAAAATCCAAATTCAAATGATTTGGTATCAGCGTAGGGCTTATAGTTACTTGAAATTGTAAACAAGTTATATGGTCAGATCCAGCATCCGTTAAACATAATGATTGTGACGTAATAATAATCACAGTCCCTAGATGCATCATCCATGCAAGTTTGGTTTAAATGTAGGGACATTTTATATAAATTGTACATTAAAATAATTTGAAATAAATTCCTTTTAACAGTTCAATTTTGGTTTAAACAGATTTATAAAATATTGGGCTTTCCGTAATTGTTCATTTTCCTCTTTTATTTTGTAATGGACCTTTGCCACACGAATCAAACTTTAACCTGGTCAGGCCATCCTTAAAAAATTGTTTTTTTGCCTCACATGTAGGACACGTCATACAGTATTATGCTTTCGCCCCATGCTCACCAAAATCCACCCTACTGGATTTTTTTTATGGGTTCATCATTTGAATTTGGATTTTATTTTTTTTTTTTTTTTGAATATATATATATATATATATATTTTATCCTATTGACATTTTTTTACGTCCCTATTGCACCTGTAGACACCGTTTTTAAAAAAGAACTGATGTGTTCTGATATATTGAACAATAAAAGATTGGATAAATCATTAAGAATGCCTTAGTTTTTTTTGTTTGATTAGTAACTATATAAGTGAAATCTCAAATTCACAAATCTGGAAGAGTTAATACCTCTATATAAACCAACTTTTATTCGAAATTTAATTCGGTAAACTAGTTCGCGACGATTAATTTTCGATCTTTTTGTTCGCTTGTTAAAAAAAAAAAAATAACCGCCTACCTGACCTACCCACATCTAAAATGATGCGAAAAAAAGTTGGCGTATTTAATACCCAGGAGCAAAAAAAAAAAGAAATTTTTAATATATGCCCCGCCTAGCACTAGAACCCCTGACCCTGGGGCCATGAATTTCACAATTTTGTAGGTCATCCATTACATCCATGCTAACAGTTTGCCTGGTAGATGTCATCCTGAGATGATTTTCCATTGCAATAATTTTAGTATCAACATGTGACCATGTAGTTTGATAACATACCAAATTTGGTGAAATTGGTTAAGTGTTTAAAAAGGCTGAAAATGTTCAAATGTTAACACACGACACACGACGCACGACACACGGCGCACGACGACGGACGAAAACGGATTATTTAAGAAAAAAGTGAGGTCAAGGTCAAAGGACAGGTCAAGGTAAAAAAATGTTGATGCAGTTGCATAGCTCTGATCAATATCTATCAGCATCTGAAGTTTGATGAAAATATCTTGGATAGTTTCTTTGAAACTTAGCTTTGAACAGAGCTAAACACAAAGTGTGACGGAAGGACGGAAGGACAGAAGGACGGAAGGACGGAAGACGGACATGACAAACACTATATGCCCTGGCCATATTCATGGCGGGGCATAAAAAATAATATTGGTACCCAACGGGAAGGCCTTGTCATAGGGAATTTTTATTTATAATGTTGATCAAAAGTTATGGTCAAGGAGGTTTGATCCTGTGCTTTTGAGCAGATTTTGGTCACGACCTTTATTTCTAAAATTGTGCATCATTTTTAAATTCGACCATTAAATTTGGATTCTACAATGCAAAGTAACCTTAATTAAACAAACATTTGCACCCACAGATAGATCTTGCCATAAGGAATACACTGTAAAGTATAAGAACACTAACACCTACCATTAAAAATTTTATTTTAAAGTAACTATAACTCAAGCTCAAGATATCACGCATGTTAGTATCTAATTAAAATTGTGTTCAAGAGATATGGTCAAAAGTTATGTTTAGTTAACATAAAAACATACAGTCACAATTATTTTTCATTTGTTGTCAATGACATTCTAAAACCTTCTTTAATTTTTATTTTTGTAGATGACAGGAAACATTTCAGTGACTTTACAGCATTGATCTGTACCTTGCCAGCTAATCACACTTGTAGAAGGAAATCTTCACTAATGTGTACTGATAGAGAAGGAGTCCTAACTACTTCCTGTTCATTGATTATCAAAAAAATCCACCACAGAAGGGTGAAATATAACCAGGATACAACAGCAGGGCTGCCATTAGACCAAAGTAACAGTTCAAAAAGATTATAGAATGAAAAACATTTGACAAAGTCATTTATCATGGAATGCAGGCCAAGTCAATCAATACAATGGATTTCAACTACCAGAAAAGGTCACTTGTCTGTGGAGGAACAGCTCTGGAATCAATAAGCGGAGACAAACTTTGCTGCTGGTTCAGCTTCTGGACAATAATTCACTGCTTGTCTTATCAGTAGATGTTTGATGTGATGACAAAATAAGGTTTAATCAGAAGGAAGGTTACACTGCTCATCTAGCTTAGTGTCCAAGTGACCAATTTTGCAGCCAATTTCTGACAACACAGTGCTACACAGACTTGCTCAAGCCTCTATGTTTTTATTGTTTAATTTTTAAACATATCTATATTCTAAATTCTTTTATTTCTAAATCTTGGCATTTAATGTCCATGGCTG